AGTGTAACGGGCATGCAGTACACGACATGTGTCCTGTCCGTGGCGACTTGGTGCACCGCACCCATTTCTGGTCACATCGCGTGTGGAACGATGACCTACATCAGGTCAATCAGATGTCTAGTACTTACACCTGAGACGTCTACTGTGATCGGTCACGCAGCGATAAGAAATGCGATGAGCTAAGTTTTACCCAGTCATCAATCCGGTGAGACATTTCGTGGCGCATCATCCCACAACAACGAGACATGAGGCCTGGAGCGTCATAGTAGCGCAGCTATAGTAAATTTGTGTTAAAAATGTGTGGACCACAGCTGCACAGGCTCCGGTGGGTAACTGTACTGGCTCGCATAGGTTTGCTTGCTGTTTTTGCCCTGCGCAAAGCTGACCTCCCCTACTGGCGACAGGTGGAGGACGAGCAAGGGGCGCAGGCGGCCTGGCAGCTGGACGAGCTCCTGACGTCCGGCGCGCAGCTCGGGGACGAGGCGCTGCCAGTGGTCATGCTGTTGGACGCCTTCGCCAGTCCGCAGGCGTACTCGCACTACCAGGAGCAGTTGTGGAGCCTGCTGACACACTGCCGTGCCCCTCTTAGCCTCCACCTGGCGGTGCCAAAGCCGTATGCGTTCGAGCTGGCGCAGCTGCTGGACGAGCTGCGCGCTGACGCGGGCTGCGCGCTGCGCTACTCCATCGTGCGCTCCAGCGCCGGCGCGCAGCACGGCATGGACGGCGCCGACCGCGGCCGCCTGTTGCTGCGCCGGCTTGCCACGCTGGCGCCGCTCGGCCGAGTTGTGTTCCTGGACGAACAGGTGCTGCCGGTCGCCGACCTGGGGCCGCTGCGCGCCCAGCTCGCCGCGTTCGACGAGTACCAGCTGGCGGCGGCGGCGCCCGAGGACACGGCCCGCTTCGTGAGCGAGGCAGCGCTGCTGACAGCCGCGCCCCGCGTGCCCGACCCGGGCCTCGGCGGCCGCCTGCTGCTGCTGGACCTGCAGCGGCTGGCCACCTCGCCCGAGGCCGGCCGGCTGCTGGCTGCGCCGCTGCCGCCGCGTGAGGACGCCGGCCTGGACGCAGACGCCGGCACCGCCGTCGGCGAGCTGCGCCGACGCTGGCCGCACCTCGTCCGAACGCTGCCCTGCCAGTGGAGCGTCACCCGACCGGGGACGCCGCGGCCGCTCGACACGCTCTTTGCGTGTCGCGAGGTGGCGCGCGTCTACAGCATGGCCGACCGCCATGAGCGCTCCTGGGAGCGAGCTGCCCTGCAGCGGCTGCAGACCGCCACGACGGCTCAGCCGGCCAGAGGGCTGTGAGGCAGGGATGTGACGGCCTGGGGTACGTCATGCGGGGATGTGACAGCCTGGGAGATGTGACGCGTGGATGTGACGGCCTGGTGGATGTGATGCAGGGAGGTGATTGTTGCAAATCCAACCGCGAGTTGCAGAGGCAGCAGCCGGAATCTCGAAGCGTACGGGTGGAGACATGACCACAGTCGCTGTGGCTGGCGTAGGACTGGCGCTGTTTTATGTGTCACGGTGCGCGCAGGAAGCATGGACTCAGCTGGTTTGTCACCGCGCTGGCTTTCCGTAACGAAAGCCAACGCGTGCACCCAGGCACTCGCCAGTCACAGTAGGGCCAACCGCGTTGTTATGTGAGCAGAAGTGAACAATAATCCAGTACTTGTAAAGCCTTGTGCCTCGCGGGCATCAAAATAACTGGTGAAACTGTCCACAAATGGCCAAATCAAACAGAAATATCCTACCGCAAGAACCCACTTTCTGACAGCTGAAGCTGGAAAGTGCTGTTTTAAGTTACATAGAAGGAGCTGTGGGGACAGAATCCAATTTGTTAGCTAAGCCACTAAGACAATGCAGCGATCGTGATTGGGGGGCTGTTCCAAATTTTAAGATATTGAGACAAGCATCAGATATGACACATCTCACTGGTTACCTTAAGTGCACCCACATGCAGACGACTGCTGTAAACAACCAAAATTCACTTTGAAGTGAATCTACTCAACATTACGTCTTCTTCTAATCTACTCAACTTCACAGAGCGTTTTATGACGCAATAGTCGCTGCAAGACTGGCGGTGTCAGAGTTATCACAGTGCCGAACGGCGTAACTCACTTGTAGTTCTTCTCTACGCTCAGGGTGGCATTAGTGGTCAACGCGGGTATTTTTTGTTGTTGTTGTTCAAGCGTGATTTGTATATTGTAAGTTATTTTAGTGGCATCACCACCGCTCCAAGCATAAGTGGCAGCATACAGTCGATTCAGAGAAAACATAGCAATATCTTCCACGGTTATGGTTGTGGATGACTCTACCCAATATGCAAGAGATGCTCTAAATGACGTATAATCCGCTCGAATATCTGCATTCAAAGCAAATGTAGTCAAAACGTCAGGTCTGTCGCTCGACATATTGAAAATATATCAGAAACGAACCAAGCTGGGCATTAAAATGATAAACTAACTAAAATCCTTAGAACACATGTGAGCCCTAACATCAGAACAACGGAGAGAAAAATTCATCTTATAACACATTTGATTCGACGAATATAAACAGTGGTACAGGTGGAATATTGCCCCTGTTGAAAACGGACACGCATTATTAAGGCATTGCTTCTACGAAGCTGGTTCGTTCCATCCCGTCTGGTTGGCAAGAAGAGCAAAACAAAGCGATGCTTCTTATCTTCGTATTGTCAACAAAGGCAATACAATGAAACGTACAAAAGTAGCACTAGACCACAACCGTGATGGGTCGGAAATGGTCGATACTACCACTTCTTCCAAGAGCATGATATTAGCATGGCTCAAATGCCTGATGATTTCGAAGGCTTATTGGATGCCTGTCGCTAACTAGCAACTACTCAGTTTAGCTCGTCTGCTAACGTGTGGGAGAAGAAAGACTGCTGGCTACTGGGCACGAGATATTCAGCCCGTTTAACGTTGATGTTATGAATGAGCGCGGATAAACGGAGCATCGCCAGTGCGCCTATACGACGCATGCACTTTGTCACACACACACGCACGTACGCACGCGTGCGTGTATGCACACACACGGACAGTATGCACTAATGCATGCACATGCATGCACATACGTTTAGACACGCGTTAATAAGCACACACAGGTGCTACACTCTTCTGTACCCTTCATGCACTCATTGCACAAACACAAACATACAGTCCTAGTTGGGTGGTTCTAATTACGTACATTGCGCAAGCGGTATTGCGGGCGATCCAATCAGGCTAAGTGGTTGATGTTGATCGAATGACGTCTTGCTGAATGTTGAATGTTTGAAAGTATTTTTTGTTGGATGTTGAATGTTTCAAAGTATTCTTTGTTGGATGTTGAATGTTTGTTGAATGTGCTAAGTTTTGGTTGAGTTGCCGTCATCATGATTGTTTAAGAATGCTGTTTGTGATGGCGTGAATAAAATGCTAAACGGGAAACAAATGTTTGCAGTTGGGTTGCTGACAAGTGAGACGTGCTACCTGTTTGCTTTATGAAGATAATTTATTTTGACGTCAGCGGTGTCCGCGCTGATTGTGTTTGAGGGTGCCGGGTCAGGTCATCAGAGGTCGTCTGAGGGTGACGGGTCAGGTCATCAGAGGTTGTCAAGAGTGACGAGTCGGGTCATCAGAGTCTGTCTGAGGGTGACGGACCAGATCACCAGAGGTTGCCTGAGGGTGACGGATCAGGTTATTAGAGGTTTTCTGAGGGTGACGGGTCAGATCATCAGAGGCTGCCTGAGGGTGACGGGTCGGGTCATGAGAGGTTATCTGAGGGTGACAGGTCAGGTCACCAGAGGTTGTCTAAGGCTGACGTCTCAGATCATCAAAGGTTGCCTGAGGGTGACGGTTCGGGTCATCAGAGGTTATCTGAGGGTGACCGGTCAAGTCATTAGGTAACGGATAACGGGTCTGAGGGTAACGGGTCAGGTCATCAGAGGTTTTCTGATGGTGGCGGGTCGGGTCATCAGAGGTTGTCTAAGCGTGACGGTTCAGGTCACCAGAGGTCAAGCTTAGCCAAACATAACCCATTGTTCTTTTATGCGAGATTCACGGCACCTACAGTTGGAATAATTTGTGAGTACAATCAACTACATCAGCATCATTTTAGTAAACATTAATCAAAGCATGCAACCAACTTTAGAACATTTTGAGGCTCAAAGTCAGGCTTGGGCCGATAAATCTTAAAAGGAGTACGCACCGTTAGGTATAGGTTTTGTGGTGGCTGCTGCAGAGGCGCTTTCTTAGCGATTGTTCATCTTACAATCAGCTTTTGTAATGGGTACTTGCATGCAAGCGACACATATTCTCCAGAGCGAAGCAAGGGCATGAATGACTTCGACGTAACAGTGTCTGCATACCGCGTCAGAGCTGCCTGGACATCGCCTGTGAACTGTGGCTGCATTTTGGATGTGTCTAGCACAGCATGACTACACTTGTTCGGTATTGCTCTTCGTTCATTAACTTCCTTTTTCAACATCAACTTCATTTCAAAAGTTATTTTCAGCGCATAAACATCCAGCTTTTGTATCATTTGCTGCGGGGGACGCAAGACGGCCCCGCTCTGTGACTGGTTTACATGGTTTACGTACATATAATCAGTGGTGCCAGAGTAAGATTGACTTCAACAAGACTTACCTGTCTGCTTGAGATTGATCCCCAGGCCTTCGCTTGTTATCGGACCTGTCATAGTCTATCATATTTTATCTAGTCTATCTAGGAGTTTGTCATATCTCCACATCAACAAACTGTCAGAAGACGGAATCGTTGCTCACGATTGTGTCGACTTATCCATGCATTACACTTGGCGCGCTGTGCGCATCGCCGAGCTGAGCAGTCATTTCGCAACTTGGTCATCTTTGATCAGACCACAACTCTGTGTCTCCATGACAGATGGGTTTTCAACAATATAACACCCATGGCAATAGCTTGTCATGTGAGCAATGCACAGATGATTAGCCGGCACTGAACGCTATAATTTACCAAGCTGCAAGCTCACCTGTACTGACTGGGTTCGTTGGCATGCTGCGCGCGCAGCTTTGTCACCAAGACGCGAATAATGTTGATCAAAAACAAGGCGCACATCTGGAAAGACAAACACGTCATAAGGTGAGTGAGAAATTCAGCGCATTTCAGCAGTACACTCACGGCAGTGTGGAGGGGAGGGGGAAGGGGGTAGAATGTACAAAAGCCTTGGATGACATAATAACCTTATAAGCACGCATCACATGGTGCGGAATTCTTAAAAGAAAACTGTGGACTGCATGCATGGTGGTACGGGTGTTCTGGAGTACAGCGGCACGGCATTATGTCAGGGGGCACGCATTCCGGAGCGCTGAGTCAATGAGAAATAAAAGGGAAGAAGTGAATGAGAGCGAGGGTAATGAACGAGTACGGGGATAACCTCATTTTTGATCAATCATGGCCGAGGACGTGCTTAGCGAGAGAATATTTATTAACAGCGCCATATGAAGTATTCTATGCCATGGTCTTGCTTTTTTGAGGGCCAATAACCGCTCATGTGATGACAATATGTCAAAAAACTGCAGTAAAATGCTGGTGACATTTTTAACATATCTACCCAGAAGATCACACACCCACACCCACACACCCACACCCACACCCACACCCACACCCACACCCACACCCACACATGTACATATATATATATATATATATATATATATATATATATATGTATATGTGTGGGTGTGGGTGTGGATGTGGGTGTATATATATACATATATATATATATATGTATATAGTATACATTATATATACATGAACGATTTTTGGAGAGTACAACTTGATGGCCAGTCAACGATTTCCATCATTTATGTTAATTCGTCGACGTTTCGATACAATCGAGCCTCATCAAGGTCTTTCTTGTACAATGGAACAAGGCGACATTTAACAAATATCACTTGGTTAAATCACGTATATGGCTCATGATAAGTAAGTTAATAGTAATGACATCATCGCAAAGGTCATGACTGCCACGATTCCACATGAGTATATTGCTTCTCTACACGCAAGCATGTCAGCTGAAAAAAACAAAATCACGCGACGAAAGACCTTTTAGAATCCGTATGAAAAAGGTTGCCTGATAATTGTCAGAGGATGTGCAGACTGCGAGATATTAAAAGGCGTTATCTTTTGGTAAACATGAATTGGTTCTAAAATCCTAAGGTCGAGACAATTGCTGCATCGCTCCATCGCTTCATGCCGTATTAACCAGCTGCAACTTCCCCCGCTCCCGGTCGGGGGGAAGTTGACCTTCCCTTTGAGATCTTCAAGTTCCAGGCGCCGAATCAGAAAACCAGACACCGTTGTAAAGGTATCGTCAAATCATGAAGAATGCAAACCACATTTTTCCAAAGGTCAAATGTGAGGTCACCTGTGGTCACGAAAGGTCAAAAACGGTCCTTCCGATATATACAGTTCAAACCTATCTTCACACGTAAGACGGATACTGAGGACACGAAAATAAGTGTTTACACTGTGGAGAGCCCACTCGAATAATTTTTGGTGTGCCAACATGAATCATGTCAGATCAGGTTACCGCTCAAAATGGTTGTACCAGTGGCCTATAAGAACGATGGTTTTCTTCACAATGTGCTTCAGAGTGTAATCATTTTTAAGTTGCAGATGCGGGACAAAGGTATTCCAGACTCGGCTAACCGGGTCTATGTGGCCAGCACACCAATTTTCTTTGATCATGAGTAGTGTGTTGTACATCTGCACGTTACTCAAGATCGCATACCTGTTGTTTACAGCATACATCGTACATTCCATGATTGACAATGTATTGGTAACAACTGAGAACATGTACGTTGGTGCATGAAATTATACGTCGCCAGCTTCGCGGACACCATAAGGAGGTAGTTACACGCGTTGTAGTCGTTCATCTAACCTCTTCACTACCGACAACATAAGTCATTCACATTGAATGACCTGAAATGACTTTGAATGTCCTTACATGAACTTTTGCTACCTCATTATGCATCATAATGATATCGCATGTTTTCACTGGAGTGTTCGAATCCTGCATTCCAAATTGTTTAATAAAATGCCCATTTTGAGCTCAGCATGTGCTTTGCAAAAGGCACCCCCCTAGATAGGTCATGACCTGACCAAGGTCATGCGCTCAGGTGCCATATAAAGTTTGTGTATGCAAGTTACTATACTTCTTCTCATGTAAAAATACCTAAACTGAACAAAAATAGGTGCAAATTTGCATTATATACGGAAAATAACGCATCACACATGAAAAAACATCATGGGCACTGCATACTCTCGGCAAATGATCGCATAGCTTTTTGAGGCCGAGTTCAACAGATTTTTGCTCGCATAATTTTGCATCTTTTAAGGTGACCTCTTTGCGTGCAGAGACGTGCTGTGCCGGTGCTGAATTGTGCTAACCGTGACCAGTAACTTACTTGCCATGGCCGAAACGGGTGCTGTGACGTAGCGATGTAAGGGTATAATCTAAATCCTTTGCTTGAGATATGCAGGATATGACTTGAGTTCATGGCAGGGCGTTCTGTCACACCTCGCATACATTACAATGGCTGTTTGGTTCCAAATGACATTGATGTATATACCGGTATGAAAATGCATGCACATATTCAATTGGTTTCTGATAATCACCTCTTCCTTGCACTTATTTGCATAAAATACATCCCGTGCAGATTTATTTCATTTACATCAGGCTTGTACTCTGAGCGGCCGAAACATCTAACAATACCTAACGCACCGTCAATGAACCACGTTGTAACTGGAGGAAGCGGTGCAGGTAACAGGACAGCGTGATGCATGTGAATTAAGTAAATAAGTGGAGTCAGTAAAACAGATGGGGCACGTGACCCGTGATCGGGTGATGATCGGGTGATGAGAGCGGATGTGCAGGACTTACCACAAGACTAAGCAGACACGGCGCGTTCAGCACCCACTCGTACATTTCGACCGGCACCACCCAGCACTGCTCATCGGCGTGGTGAGCCCGCAGAGCCGCGTATACCGCCACCGGGATCACCGGGAACACTGCAACAGGTCAGCGGGCTGAGACTGGGGAGCTGTGTCACGGGGTCACTGCAACAGGTCAGCGGGCTGAGACTGGGGAGCTGTATCACGGGACCACTGCAACAGGACAGCGGGCTGAGACTGGGGAGCTGTGTCACGGGAACACTGCAACAGGTCAGCGGGCTGAGACTGGCGAGTGTGTCACGGGACCACTGCAACAGGACAGCGGGCTGAGACTGGGGAGCTGTGTCACGGGGTCACTGCAACAGGTCAGCGGGCTGAGACTGGGGAGCTGTGTCACGGGTCACTGCAACAGGTCAGCGGGCTGAGACTGGGGAGCTGTGTCACGGGACCACTGCAACAGGTCAGCGGGCTGAGACTGGGGAGCTGTGTCACGGGGTCACTGCAACAGGTCAGCGGGCTGAGACTGGCGAGTGTGTCACGGGACCACTGCAACAGGTCAGCGGGCTGAGACTGGGGAGCTGTGTCACGGGACCACTGCAACAGGTCAGCGGGCTGAGACTGGGGAGCTGTGTCACGGGACCACTGCAACAGGTCAGCGGGCTGAGACTGGGGAGCTGTGTCACGGGGTCACTGCAACAGGTCAGCGGGCTGAGACTGGGGAGCTGTGTCACGGGACCACTGCAACAGGTCAGCGGGCTGAGACTGGGGAGCTGTATCACGGGACCACTGCAACAGGCCAGCGGGCTGAGACTGGGGAGCTGTGTCACGGGGTCACTGCAACAGGACAGCGGGCTGAGACTGGGGAGCTGTGTCACGGGGTCACTGCAACAGGTCAGCGGGCTGAGACTGGGGAGCTGTGTCACGGGACCACTGCAACAGGACAGCGGGCTGAGACTGGGGAGCTGTGTCACGGGGTCACTGCAACAGGTCAGCGGGCTGGGACTGGGGAGCTGTGTCACGGGGTCACTGCAACAGGACAGCGGGCTGAGACTGGGGAGCTGTGTCACGGGACCACTGCAACAGGTCAGCGGGCTGAGACTGGGGAGCTGTGTCACGGGACCACTGCAACAGGTCAGCGGGCTGAGACTGGCGAGTGTGTCACGGGACCACTGCAACAGGTCAGCGGGCTGAGACTGGGGAGCTGTGTCACGGGACCACTGCAACAGGTCAGCGGGCTGAGACTGGGGAGCTGTGTCACGGGTCACTGCAACAGGCCAGGAGCTGACTGGGACTGGGGAGCTGTGTCACGGGGTCACTGCAACAGGACAGCGGGCTGAGACTGGGGAGCTGTGTCACGGGGTCACTGCAAGAGGACAGCGGGCTGGGACTGGGGAGCTGTGTCACGGGGTCACTGCAAGAGGACAGCGGGCTGGGACTGGGGAGCTGTGTCACGGGCCACTGCAACAGGACAGCGGGCTGAGACTGGGGAGCTGTGTCACGGGACCACTGCAACAGGACAGCGGGCTGAGACTGGGGAGCTGTGTCACGGGTCACTGCAACAGAGACGCGGACTGGACTGGGGAGCTGTTCACGGGACCATTGCAAGAGGTCAGCGGGCTGTGACTGGGGAGCTGTGTCACGGGACCACTGCAACAGGTCAGCGGGCTGAGACTGGCTAGTGTGTCACGGGGTCACTGCAACAGGTCAGCGGGCTGAGACTGGGGAGCTGTATCACGGGACCACTGCAAAGGACAGCGGGCTGAGACTGGGAGTGTGTCACGGGACCACTGCAACAGGTCAGCGGGCTGGACTGGGGAGCTGTGTCACGGGTCACTGCAACAGGTCAGCGGGCTGAGACTGGGGAGCTGTATCACGGGACCACTGCAAGAGGACAGCGGGCTGGGACTGGGGAGCTGTCACGGGGTCACTGCAACAGGTCAGCGGGCTGGACTGGGGAGCTGTGTCACGGGACCACTGCAACAGGTCAGCGGGCTGGACTGGGGAGCTGTGTCACGGGGCCACTGCAACAGGTCAGCGGGCTGAGACTGGGGAGCTGTGTCACGGGACCACTGCAACAGGTCAGCGGGCTGAGACTGGGGAGCTGTGTCACGGGACCACTGCAACAGGACAGCGGGCTGAGACTGGGGAGCTGTGTCACGGGGTCACTGCGACAGGTCAGCAGGCTGAGACTGGCGAGTGTGTCACGGGACCATTGCAACAGGTCAGCGGGCTGAGACTGGGGAGCTGTATCACGGGACCACTGCAACAGGCCAGTGAGCTGAGACTGCGGTTGCTCTGTACTGGAAACAATAGAACATGGTCACGGACTGAGACTGAGGTCAAGTCTGGGGTGATAAGTGTTTTTTTTGTAGTCGACCAAATCTATGCAGGCAAAATGGTCGCCAGCAACGCAAGGCGATACCATGTAGCATAAAATGATAATGAAGTTCATGCCCAGTAGCGCCATCAAGAATCAGCGAATCACCGAGAGCCTCTTTTATCGTCGCTCTTTTCGATGTCATGCACGCAACGGAACCGCTCATTTACACAATGCCATTTGACTAATGTCCGGATAACCGCTCCTACTAGAACTGCAGGCACACCGACCGTGGACAATGGGCCAGACAAATCACAAACCAACCTTCTTCTACCCTCGGGACTTGCCTGGTCTTACGTTTAAACTTAATATGCGGCTGAATTTGCCCTCCTCGACCGCAAAAAAGGAACAATGACCTCGATAGCTAGGGACGTTAATTACATGTCAAAATTCGAACCGATGGAGGGCAGCACTGGGGACGACGTCCAATACGCCAGCCTCCTCGAGGCTATGACCCCTTATGAAAACTACACGTGCACTTCGAACCTCTCCCCAACGGTCACCGTACTTTCCACAATTTCCTGGGCAGGCTCCAAGCCTGGCGATACACGCATTGTCTGGCGAGCGCCTTTATCCGCCCCCCAGGCATTTGATTTATACAATTATAAACTGAGTTTTTACGCTCCCTGGAAAGGAAGAAACTTTATATTGGGTTCTGGGTCGGGCTTTAATCAAGGCTCAGACGACTGCGCAAATGCTGGGCGAGGGTAGTGTGTGCGTGCTGGAAGGAGAATACATTGGGTTCGCAGAAAAGTGCGATCACAAAACTGTTTAAGAGAAAAAAACAGTTCTTTCATATATCTGTCACACTCAGCAAACAAAGCACCAACAAAACAATAATTTACGGGTAAAGCCCGACATTAGAAGACTATGACGTGTTTTGACGGTCCGAAGGTACCAGAAGTTCCGGGCTTAAACTTAATGATTTCACGCCGTTTGAACAATGAAATGGCATATGCTTCCATGAAATGACACGGGCTAGCCTACCTGTTTCCTAACTGGCAGGAAGGGCCTGCACCGAAAGCACAGGCCGGACGGCGATTAAACCCCGTACCTGTGGTTTCCCCTCCGCACATCTGAACCACTGTACTTTAACGGTCAGAGAAAGTCTGGGTAATACCGTGCATAGCTTGCATGCTGAAGGGCTTTTAAATGACAAAAGCACATTAATTAGCCACTGAGTTCTTAAAACATACTCAGTGTCCACGGTGGCCAGTTGAGGCCCACTTATCCGTAACGGGGGCCCAGGCTGGTCAGATAGGATCTAGCGAGTTTGCAGAGGATGGGCTCTTCTCATTCCGCACGGTCATATTTCCTCGCGCCCCGCGCGGCAAAAACTGCCTATCCGTGCACGCTCACAAAATCTCAGATTTTGCCTTTTACGGAGTGAGAGAAAATGGATGTCCCCCAATCCCATGGTATCTCTAGGCAGGACCTAATGGTTAAATGAGTTTGATTGCTAGGACAGTGGGGTCCCTAGGCAGCCAGAGAGAAATGTCAATGGCCGAAGGATTGCTTGGGGACCAAGGCGTCCCCTCTGTGGCTAGGCAGGCCCTTAAGAATAAGGTCCTTGAGCAGCAAGAGGGACACTAAGCAAACAGGCAGCATTGGGCATTTACTGCACGCCTGAGTGTCCAGAGTGCCTCTGACGAGTCCGGGGTCCAACGAACAGCCAGAACGGCTCTTGAGCAATGGAAGGTGCCTCCCAGTGACCAAAAGAGCCCTGAGCAGTTGAGAAAGCCCCAAGTGTTTAAAGGGTTTTGAAGATGACTGGATGGCTCCCGAGCCCTCAATAGCCAGACGGGTACTTAGGTTTTAAAGGTGACTGAGTGGCTTCCGAACCCTCGATAGGCAGACGGATAATTAGGTTGTAAAGGTGACTGAGTGGCTTCCGAACCCTCAATAGGCAGACGGATAATTAGGCTTTGAAGGTGACTGAGTGACTTCCGAGTCCACAATTGCCAGACGGGTGCTTAGGTTGACAAGGCAGTTTGGTTGGGGTCTCCGAACGATCAGAGGTGCCCATTAATGACCGGGAGTGCCTTGGGCTGCCAGCGACGCCTCTGAGCACTTACAGGTAAGTGCCATCAGAGCTTTTCGATGGCCAGAGGCCCCAAGTGACCCAGTGATGAAATCAGACTCGTAATCGAATAACTGTAAGGGAATATTCAATATGTAAAGATGCTGAAGCAAGCACCTGACATGACAAAATAAGGCCACTCATAAGCATTGGTATACTTTTAAATATAAAAAATTCTCTAGACCAAAACATTTTTATTTCTAGTACACATGCTCCTCAATGTCATTGCTTTTTTGCGTCATCGTACCTAACACAACATTGATTGAGAGCCAATTGACGGTCGTTATATCTGGACGTCGTTCTCACGAACGCCAGGTACGCACGACTCGAAAATGACATTTTTTTCGTGGCCTCGGCTGCGACACGGCCAGTCAAATGACTGACCGTGAGTGACGTTATCATAGCCTAATGAATGCCTGGGGGCCTTGAAATAGTTCGCACGAAAAATCTGCACATCTTCCCACACGTGCAGCTCTGAAACTAGAGGGGTTTAGGTCTTAGGAAGGTAGGGCTGTGAACTGCACCGAATGATCATCAAGATGGCTATTTCAGTTCCTAAGCCCATACAAATGCGAGTGAAACCCTACCCTTAAGAATAACACCAAACGAACCCAGCATGTGGATACAAGTGAAGATTTTAAACTCACGTAAACATGCGAG